CCCCCCCCCTTTTTTTTTGGTGTTTGTTACTCTCTTGTAACATCACCTCTAATCTTCGGCACTTTTAATATGACCTTATTTTGTTGCAAGTGCCGGAAAACTCTTACTAAAACTGAAACAAGACTGTAGAAGAGTACCACTGTAAATTGTACCTGAACCGTGTGGAAAGGGTTGTAAAACCTTTCAATCTTTCCATCATGAGACAATCAGTCCTTCTTGACGGAGTCTATATATAGGCACTCCGTCGCCCTAGTCTATATGTGAGGCAGCGTGGTGGAATCAGGCTCTCGTCAAAATAGTGAAATCGGAAAAAACCCAGCAGTTTTCTCCCTGCTTAGCAATTTTTATAAAACTTTTTTTTTTTTGGCTCAACACCTTTTATGTCCATTTACAAACACATTCCTTTGAGGATTTCACCGAAAACGTTGATTAAAGGCACAAAAATATAAATTTACAGTTTCCAAGGACTCTCCAGCTTTGGAATTTACCAAGCTTTGGCGGCCATTTTCTCGCTAATTTTACCTCTTAAACCAAGTGACCCCCACCTCCTTCAATCCAAAATGTCTCCACTTCTATTGAAGATGGATAGATAATTTTTTTCATCTGAACAAAGACAAATGAACAAGCTTTAAGAAGATACCAATAACTGAATATATTCATATGCCCAAGAATTGATGATAGCCTGATTCCACCACGCTGCCTCCCATATATAGTCACTCCCTCGCTAAGCTAGTCAGTTTGATTTGTGGTCCGGGAACGTTTGAACGGTCAGAATTCCTGCTGTCATAAATAAAGTCACCTGATGATGTATGCGGGTGGTTGGAGGGTGTGTCTTTTGTTAGGTCTTACTTCTTTTTTTTTTTCTCCTTCTGTCTGTTGTTTCTGTTATTAGTGAAACTTGCTAGGAAGTGGGTGGTTGGCGGGTGCTCTGGTTTGGTCTGCTCCTTCTTTCCTATCAAATATCTGTTGTCCTTATCTCCCCTTCTTCTTACGTTTGTTACTCTCTTGTAACACCTCTAATCTTCTTGCGCTCATATGACCTTATATGCAGTTGCGAGCGCCGTAAAACCTCTACTAAAACTAAACTAAACAAATCGGGTCCTGTGACTGTGTCTTTTTGTTTGCAAATGCAACGGAACC